TGCTAAACTAACTGTATGAAGAGATTCTTGGTACTCTCCAGGGTTCTATGAACAAATGAAAAGAATTGACAATGTTAAGAGCAGTGCTGCATTCATGGTACTCAAAGGCAAGGATGATATATACAACATCCTACCAAGCAAGCGACCATTAAAGCACGGCTTGTTCCTCCAAGAGAGTCTTGCAATACCCTTGTCAATTTGCTTTCTCTATAGGGAATTCGTGGTTGGTCGTTGTTCAGTGCATAAATGACATTTGATAGTGCAAATAAGGACTGGTTGATCTTAGCACTCTCTTGTAGACGAATTCCAGTGTTGCAAGTTCTTCTATTGTCTTCGTTACCTAATTCAGTGACATTTGAGTTACAATATGTGAGTAACTTTTCAGTTCAATATTTTTAAAACAATTCATGGTTAGATTTAGTAAATTTTTAAGACCTGCCAAGTCAATAAGGTTCAACTTCCCAGTAATGACATTTCCAGTATCATCACAGCTTGGAGTAGAAACATAAACCGTGAGCACAGCATGGCTCCTGCTAGAGACATCATTAGCGCCCGTATGTGCAACTTTTCTCCTCTGAACCGCACATGAAAATGCTTCTTGAAACTCTGACGTTGAACTGACAGCAACTTGTGCAAGTCCTTTGAGATGAATCTGCCCATCTTTGTCGTCCAGTATGAAAATTTCTTTCTCCTTAAGTTCAAGTAGATCATAGCACCTATCCATGTAAATTTCATAGTATGATATTGTTACGGTACTTTTCCCCTGACTCTTCGAGAGAATAGAGGACATTGCAAGTGGCATTAGACCAGGGAGGTTTTCAGTTCCCTGCATCAGCAAAAAAAATAATTCAAAACAACCTCACATGTACATCCAAGAATTAGGAAGTCCTGACGGGAACTATATTATACTTCAGATACATATCTCTGAAGAGGTCAAATGGAGAAGTTCTAGATTAGGACCAACGGCTGCATATATGGGATAAGCATATGCATGGTATCAATCTGAATAGTCTGATATGTCCTTTGCTCAATCGTGGATCTATGCTATAGAAGTTATAGAGCAGCAAAAGACTTGAGAAGAAACATTGAGTAGGTTTGTTATAACTTATAACTCTATATATATATCTCCTACTCCACGAGTATATTTTAGCATCTAGTCCACTTGCAGGAGTGATGGAGCAAGTTGTGTTATGTAGACAAATAAAACATACCTGCATGGTGTATGTTTTGCCACTCCCTGTAGCACCATAAGCAAATATTGTTACATTGCAACCTTCTAATATCCCGGGGATCAAAGGACTGACTTCTTTGCCAAATATTTGGCTTATATTGTTATCTTCTTGACCGAAAAATGCATCCAACTTGTAGCATTCATTACGACTAAAGTCAAAAACAAAAAGTTCCCAGGATGAGGTTGTAGTAAGACAGATTTAATCTTAACACATGCCAGCAATTGATAAAAAACTTACCTAGTTTCATGATCTTTGAGATGAACTGTGACATCCTCAGAAGGCTCACATTCTGAGTTGAGAACAGAGACACAAGAGATTGGGTTTCCATCTATCGAGTTGATTTCTCGAGGAAGAAAAGGGCGAACTCTAACAATTACTCTAACTTTTGTGACCACAGCGGATTCTAACTGCTGCACTCTTCCAGGGGTTGGCAAGTTTTCTGTTTGACATGCTTTAAGACCATTCATTTGCATATTAATGTCAGGGACAACAGAACCTGTTTATTTAACAACAATAAAATAAATAACATTAGCATTTAAAAATGTAGTCTTGCTGAACAAAGTACTGTCTTTTTCAATAAACAGCATGCCAGATTAATCTTTTGAACAAGTGTTTCTTCTTTTTATGGAACAACTCATCTACTTCTGGAAGGATCACAAAAAAGTTTCAACTGAGAGCATAAATCAATTTAAAGTTTGACTTGTTTTATGAATACTTCACCATAATGGGATACTTCCTTTTTCCTTCTAATCTTTATTTATGTATCTGTCTATCTGAAATTAGTCAAACACCTACCCAAGAATAACAACCACAACAACAACAATGTATCCGGTGTAGTCTCACAAAGTGAATTCTAAGGAAGGTAGAGTAGACCTTACCCTTACCTCAAAAGTAGAGAAGTCATTCTCGATAGACCCCCGGCTTCAGGAAAAACAAACCAAAGTAATCCAGAAAAAGAAATAACGGAGGTGAACTCATAACAAATCAATAATACAATAATCGAAGTACAACAAACCAACATATAGTAACAAAAATAGAAGGACAAGAAACTACAAGAGTAATACTACCACTACTAATATGAAGGGATTAGCTAGACAACTCTACTACCCTAATTCCCGTGTGGCACAACCTACCCTAGAATGTGAAATAATTTTAAATTCAGTTTAACAACCTCAGAAAGTTTGGATTTTTAACTATTCTACCAAGAATTGAGCTCAAAATGTTCCCTTTAATCAACATTATACCAAATTCCTGCCTTAGCCATCCATTTTCATTAAGGTTCAAGTTCAATTCACTAACATTTTACTTTTAAACTAATAGAGTATGTGATAATACAACTTAAATCCTTTAAATAAACAAATCACTCTCTGAGCAGACAGTAAATCCAGTTCTTCTCCCATAAGAATAATCAAATTTAGAGTAAGAATGACCAAGATTTTTAAAAAAATAATATTAATCGCAAAATTAAAACCAAAAATAGACTAAGAAACATCAAAATCACGAGCATCTTAGTAGTTTAGTTGATTAACTACTGATTCCCGAGATTTTGATTCCCCCACCTTGTAATCCCCTTCCACGTCCCCGAAAAAACCCAAAAAAAACACCAAAAAATCGATGGATTATGTTTGAAGATTTACGAACCTTAAGTTTGTAGATCACACTCCAAAATTCACAATTATTTTTCCCTTTTGTAACACTGTGTGTATGTGAGAGAGATGAGTTCCAAAGAGATTAGTGCAGTTTCAAATTCTCAAATGGCGGTCTCGGGTTTTGAACTTTTTTTTGAATTAAAGTGTTTGGGCCTTTTGCCTTTGGGTATGGGTTTGCATGGCCCAACCCCAACCCATAAAGCTTTCATCTTTAGCAATTGCACTCAATAGCCAATTTTATGGACTCGTTTAGTTTCGACCTTTAAGGTTTTTAACACTGAAATCATTGTACTTTTAAATTATGGGTTCGCATATAGAGTTTGCTGAAATGCTAGTGAGGTTTCACATGTATAGTTATGCTTTGCAGTGCAAATATTGGGTTTACTACCTCCACTAGGTAGAGTAAGGTTGGCGTACACACCCCCACCTGTGAGAATTTCACTGGTATGTTATTGTTGTTGAAATTACTTAGTTTCGATGAATGTGGTACCTAAGGGGTGCATCAACATCTGGTTTTGCCTGTTTTTGTACCACGTCAAGCTATATGTGAGTTTCAAGACGTGTGAGTTAGGGCAAGTCTAAGTTCAAAACACTCCCATTTGACGCATATTTTGTCACGCATGAGGCTAACATGTATAGGAGCCTAGCACTTGGTGAAATATTCTAAAGCTATGGAAGGTTTTCCTTAGGAAGACAGTAAATCATTGTTGATTTGCTAGGAAAACTCCCCAAAAAAGGTCATGGAAGAATGTAGACTTGTGGAGAAATCTAGAGAATGAGGGACTCGTCCTAATTTATGTGGCATTTTTTGGACTTTTGAGATTCAAACAAGTCTCAAAATTCAAACCGTCTTACATAAATTGGGACAAAGAAAATACTATTATACACTAGGTGACGAGTGTATATATGAGATCACTCATTTGTAATTCATTAAGCAAGAAATCTAAGTATGATATAAAACATTATTTGGTGATCTCTTGTATTGAAGCAATATATTTCTGCCCACGTGAATTTATTACTCCTTTAGCAAAAGAAACCTAACATTAATAAATGCTTTTAAATTTTCTTCCTTGAGAGATGGATAAACAGCTAAGACTTTTTCATCACAAACAAATTAAATTATATTTATTGAATACAGATTCTAAATCATAAATCTTTTTGTTTATTTAATTTTAAGTAAAATTTATATTAAATACTTCTTTTTCTTAATAAAAGGTCTGTTTGGATTAACTAATGTAGTAAATAGTCTATAAGCTTTAAATCCTAAAATTGATTACACAAATAAGCAATTGCGTTTTGAGTAGAAATAGTTTTGCTACATAAGACATGTGTACACATTACACTTTCTTAAAACTCACTTATAGAATTGCATTGAGTATATTATAGTTATAGTAATAATGCTTCAATATAAGTGTTAAAACTGGTAATAGACAATTGATGTGTTTAATAAAAAAAATGTTGATAAGTTATTTTTGTGTTGATTAAAATACGCTCAAATAAAATGAAGAGGAATATAGGCATTTTGTTATGAGAAAAATATTATGAATTAGAATGGGGAAAAGTAGCACAATACTTGGTCAAATAAAAGTGTTCATAAGCTAAAATTCACAAATTGTGACGATCAACTTATGATTTTGGAGTAATTTATATAGAAGAGGTATTAAAAATACTTTAAAATTTGGCGTGAATAATTTGTTTCATTCTCAAGCTATTGATGATAACTTTAAAAACATCTATTTACTTGACTAACTGAACTTAAATACACCCCCGATCCTACAATATCAATGAAGTATACCCTTAAATTCTCATCAAGTTTAGAAGTGTTTTCAACATTTCTCTCAATTATTTATTAAGAAGTCTCATGCTCCTACAAAAGTTTGAGACCACTTACTATGTCATGTGGCAGATCAGGAGTATCAAAGGTGTATCTAAATTTAGTTAATCAAGTAGAGGAGTGCTTTTAAAATGGGAATAAAGACAAATATACCCCCGAATTATTGTAAATGGTATGCAGATACCCTCCGTCATATTTTTGGGACATTATTGGTGCCCCTGTCGTCCAAAAACTAGAGCATATATATCATTTATACTAACAAACATTCATAATCTTATCCACCGACCTGACATTTATTAAATATCATATCGATGGATAAGATTGCGCCACGTGTCCCTATTCAGTCTTCCGTTAGAGTGAAGGGCGTATATGCTCTAGTTTTTTTATGGAAGGGGCACCAATGTCTCAAAAGTATGGCAGAGGTTATCTGCATACCATTTACGATAGTTCAGAGGTATATTTCTCCTTTTTCCTTTTTAAAATTGTCAAATAGTTCGAACACGAAACTAACAATTTATGTCAAGTTCAAAGGTTCTCTCATTTATATGTGTTTTCGTGGGGGGAGAAATAACCAATTTATAGTACCATATAGACTGCTATTGGTACTATTCGTTTGTGCTGTGTTAGTCCCATCAACTCCCACTTAGGATGTTACTAGGTAATGTTGCCCGTGCTATGCACGGGCACGGGCCCAATAATATAAATGGTATGTTTTGGGGCTAATAACGGAGATTTTAAAGCGATTGTTTGCGTGGATAAAGGAATAAGTTTTTTTATCACAAACTTGTACTTTATTTGACGCTATTCAAGGCACAATAAGACTATCCACATACAACATTTTTGAAATATTTTATATTGTCAATTATCATGATTTATAGTATTTTTACGATAGATTCACTTAAAGAATGAGTGGAATTTTTTGTATTTTTTTTCAAAACATATTTTATGTTGTCAATTATCATGATTTATAATATTTTTACGCATTTTTTAAATATAAAAAACCCAAAAAAAAACAAGACAAATAAATTAAAATGGACCCAATATATGTTATTTTTTTTGTCTCAATTTATGTCACACAAATAAAATTTGGAGAGTCATCCAAATTTTAATTTTTTTTTTTTAAAATGTTTTAAGTTATTAATTATTGTGATTTATAATATTTTGATGTAACTTTCAAATAATCAACATTACTGGTCACTTTGTCATAATTTATGTGATATGGATAAAATTACAAAATTAACCCTTTTAAAATGTCTTTCAGATATTTTAAGTTGTTAATTATTATTATTTATAATACTTTTTTGGTAATTTTAAAATGATATGTGTTATTTTTTCTGTCCTAATATATGTGAGCCTGAAAGAATTCTGAGAGTGAACCTATTTTATTATATAGCTTTTAAATATTTTAAATTGGTAATTGTTGTAATTTTTAATGTTTTTTAAGTCATTCGTAAATGATATATGTTGCTTCCTTTATCCCATTTTATATAGTATAAATAAAATTCCCGAAACCAACTAAATTTTTAATATATTTTTAAAAATATTTTAAATTATTAGTTATTGCGATTTATAATATTAAAAAAAAAGTACAAAACTTGTATCAGCCTAAAAAATGACCACGATAATTCGAAGCCTACAGAAAGCAATATGGTTGTACGTAATTTTTAAATACTTAATATATATTACTCCACTTGTCTCAATGTATGTAGCATTGATAAAATTTGAAGATTCAATCAAATGTTGTTAATTGTTAACATTTATAATACATTTTACGTAGTTTTCAATAATTTCACATTAAACAATACATATTACTACTTTTGTCTCATTTTATGTGACATTGATAGATTAATTTTAAGAATCAGTCAATTTATTTTTTCTGGTTTTTTAATAAATATTTAAAGTGGTCAAAATCACGATTTATTGTATTTTATACATAATTTTTAACGATAGATTAATTTCAAGAATTAATCGAATTTTTTTATATGTATTTATTTTTGAAATATTTTATGTTGTCAATTATCATGATTTATAGAATTTTTACGCAATTTTTAAATATAAAAAAAAAATTAAGGCAAATAAATTAAAATGGACGCAATATATGTTATTTTTTTTGTCTCAATTTATGTGACACAAATGAAATTTGAAGAGTCATCCAAATTTGCATTTTAAAAAAAAATGTTCTAAGTTATTAATTATTGTGATTCATAATATTTTTATGTAACTTTCAAATAACTTACATTGCTGGTCACTTTGTCCTGATTTATGTGATATGGATAAACTTACAAAATTAACCCTTTTAAAATGTCTTTCAGATATTTTAAGTTGTTAATTATTATTATTTATAATACTTTTTTGGTAATTTTGAAATGATATATGTTATTTTTTCTGTCCCAATATATGTGACTCGGATAGAATTTTGAGAGTCAACCTATTTTATTATATATCTTTTAAATATTAAATATTTTAAGTCATTTGTAAATGATTTATTATATTATATTATTATATATTATATAAACTCCCTTATAGTAGAAAAATAAATATATATTATATAGTAGAAAAAATGATTTATTATATTATATATTATATATTATATAGGGAGTTTTATGATTGGACATTACAATGTCCCATCATAAACTCCCTCTTATATAATAAGATAAGAGAATATATGTTGATCACAATATTTGAGTAAAATCTATTGAATTCTATCGAACCTGAATCTATAAAGCCATATTCCGCTAAATCTCCACCACTCATTTCTAATCTAACGGTCAAGAATTGCCCGGGAAGGGTAAACACCACATTTATTAATCCCTCAAAGTGTGCCGTTTGATGTTCAAACTTTTGTCTCCTAACGTACCCTCAATAAAACCGTTAACGCCGTTAACCATTTTCACAGCCTTTCCATCTCCAACAGCACAAAAACTTAACGATTAATTAACGGCGCCGTCAATTACCCTTTCTCCATATATTCGTTATGTACAAAAAAACATTTTTTTTTATAATATTTACTTTTTGTGTCATTCAACGGGCAAAGGTTTTCTCAATTTCTCTCACTAGCAACTCTTTAAGATTTTTTTTTTCTTTTTGGGGTTCAAAGGGTTCGATCTTCGATGAATTTTAGCTGATTTTTTGTCATTTTTCTGCTAATTTGAGGTTTGTTTACTGTTGAATTCTTGAAATTTCGTGAAAAGTTTGTTTTTTTATGCATCTATGCTAGTTTGTGATCAATTTTAGCTTTG